ACGTCAGGAGGATGTCTCAAAGCACTGGACAATCAGTGTTTCAGACCCGAGCTAGGGATTGGGATCGGGGAGGGTGGAAGGCAGGGGCGATGGTGGGTGATTGAAGGTACGGTGGAAGAGGAGGGTATTGAGATGGGTCTTGAAGGATGCAAGGGAGGGGGCGAGGCAGAGGGACTGTGGAATGGAGTTCCAGAGGGTGGGGGCAGAGTGGCTGAAGGTCCGCCTGCCAATGGTGGGGCGGGCAAGGCGGGGGACGTGAAGCAGGCCGGAGGCCTCTGAGCGGAGGGAGCAAACAGGATGGTAGGGGGTTAGGAGGTTGCAGAGGTAGGGGGAGCAAGAACATGGAGAGCTTTAAAGATGAGGACCAGGATCTGGAACTGTATCCTCTGTGTGATGGGAAGCCAGTGGAGTTGGGCAAGGATGGGGGTGATGGGGAGGCCGACAAGCAGGGAGTTTGCATAGTCAAACCTGGATGTAATGAATGCATGTATGAGGGTATCGGCGGCCTGTGGCGTGAGACAGTAGTGGAGCCGGGCGACGTTGCATTGTTGGGGGAAGGCAGAGCGGATCATGGCACAGATGTGGGGTAGAAAGGATAGTTGAGGGTCCAACAAGACACCAAGGTTCCGGACTGGTTTAGCAAGGTGGAGTATGCAACCATGGATGGTGATGCTGTCAGCGCCTGAGGTATGGAAGCGCTCACTGGAGCCAATCAGGAGAGCCTCGGTTTTGTTGACGCTCAATTGTAGAAAGTTCGCTCTCATCCAGGACTTGATGTCTGACAGACATTCTGTCAGGACAGCAGTGGTCCTGGAATCAAGGGTGGAGGCAGAGAGATAGAGTTGGGTGTCATCCGCATACATGTGTAAGTTGACCTCATGTCTGCAGATGATGTTACCAAGAGGGAGCATATAGATTGAAGAGTTGAGGACCAAGGACAGAGCCCTGAGGAACGACGCACAAGATGGTTGGGACCGTGTGAGTATTTGAATGCCGCATAGAGCAGACTGTTGGGACCATATGTTGTCTTGAGCAAGTTGATCCTTTATTCGTGGTACAAGGAACGAGTTAGTCCAGAAGCAAACATGTGAGTCATTCGTTAGGAAAATTTCATACCTGAAGCGGGCAGGATATAATTTGTGATACAGTGGAAGTCGCTTAAACCAGACACATCGGGTCTGGCTATTGTATTGGCTGAAGTGGCATCCGAGATTAACCGAAGTTCCCTGACATCTTCTCACCCAGGAGAGGAGCAGTGGCGGTGCCCCCTCCCTCCATTGCCGTTCCCAATTAACGGCAGCTTCAAGGTGACTGATAGCCTGAAGCTGCATGTAAGGCACCCCACCCATTCACAAGTGGCTCCAGTCTTGTCAGGAACTCGCCATTCCCTCCCAGTCCCTCCCTTGTTTCTTCCCTGTTCCTCTGCCCCCTCACTGATTGAAGCCAAAAACTGCTTGTGAATGGCTGGAGTCAGCTGTCAATCACAATTTGACCCCTCCCATCTCCATCCCGGAACCGCTGGTGGCAAGTGAGTGGCCGTAGTGGTGACCAGAGCTGCATTTTGTCCGGATTAACCGCCATATTTCAAACAGGTAAGAATACAAATGAATCGGGGCCGGGCGTTTTGTCCAATTTACCCGGCCTCCGGGGTTAACCACCGTCCCACTAAAGCAGCTTCCACTGGACACAATCCACCTCTGGAGTGGAATACACATGGTCAACAGAAATTCAACTGAGATACCTTGTTAGATGTCCTCCTGACGTGAAAGGTGCTATGCAAATGCAATTTGTTGCTGTTGTTAAGCGATCTTGAGTAAGAACAATGAGATTACTGTATAATGCAATTTACAGTTATATATAGATAAATATATAGTCTGATTGAGAAAGAGACCTAATACTGCGTACCATAAGCTTTAATAGAAGTAAAAGAAGCATGATATCATTGCGCTTAGAATAACAGAACTGCATCAGCAGACAGATGACCTGTTTGTATAGTTGGGAGCAAAGTAACGTTGATTCAAACAGTAGCAGTGAGCAGGATGTATACTTCCCACTCTCAATCCTTCGCCTGGGGCTGAGGAGAGTTCTGCATGTTCAAAGCTCCACTGACATGTGTTAGTTATTTGAACTGGAAGTGGGAACAGCTCTTTAATAATGTTAGGAATAGTCCCTCAAACATTCTTGGGTAGTTAAAGGAACATTTACTGAGTGCAGATTGAATCAATTTGCACCACCTCCATTTCTTGTGAAAACTGCTGCCAAAAGCTTCCTCAGCTCAACAGCTCCAGGACCAATGGCTTTTAGGTTGCTAGACTAAATCTCAATTTATACTTGGTGATTCGGAGCAAATCGGTCTGAGAGGCGCAACGCAAACGGCATCGAAACCCGATGAATGAGCTGCTAACATTTGGGTGAGAGTGAGCATGAATTATTTGTGATAATACTGTACCTAATTTCCATATACACAGGCTGCCGGTTCTGTCATTTTAGCACAATTCTTTGCAAAAAGAGTCCAGATGATCAGTGGAGTAAGAAACCATATTTCAGGGGTAACAAATCATTTATTTGACTGCAGGAACAGAAGCATTGTAATTGTCACCCATGAATTGTTTTCATCAGCATAGTAACTTATAGAAAAGTGTTTAGTTGTTATTGCTTAGTTCTCATGAGGCTGCTTTTCATATTAACAGTATCAGTTATTACAATCTGTGGCATTTTATCTGCAACTGCCATGTTCATAAATATACATAACCGGGACATTTTGTACTGTCAAAAATCATAAGCTTGTTTCCTTTTAACAGTTGGAGTGCTATAATGCAAAGTGCTCATTAAATCTGTTCAATAGATATTTTGTGACATCTGAATGCTTTGGTTCAGACAAATTTGAACAAGTGCAGTGCATAGAAAGTGCGTTAGTATGAACATTTTATTCATATTCTTTATTGATCTCACTACAGTTTACAGTAGTGCATTGATGCAGTTAGCAGAAGAGTCTTCCATCTGTTATATTTTGTTAGGGATCAGTTATATTGCAGACTTTGCATTGATTTAATTTGCTTTACTTGTTGACCGCCTTTTTCTACCTCCAGAACATTTGCTGCTTATGCCCTTTACTCATCCCCTCTGCTCCTGAAATCCTCATAAATGCCTGGGCTCTTCAGGGATAGAATCCTGCAATGTTCTCCTCCCCAGCCGCCCTAGCTTCGCCCTTCACAAGCTTTAACTCATCCAAAACTCTGCAGCTCTTCATGTCGTTCACAACACTCATTACTCCCACTGCTGCCAGTGTCTGCTTCAGAGCTCTTTTAAAAGCTCCCTCTTTACTGCCATGCTTTTGGTCAACAACCTGAATTCTCCCTTTGGTCTCCCTGCTTGGTGTTCTCTACTTGTCAAACACTGCAAGTTTGAAGCCATAGTATAATTTTAGTTTGTGCGAAATTGACTCAGAGACATCTGATCATTCCTGAACCCAATCCTGTGCTTGCCCAATGACAGTCACCCAATTTGTCAGCCAGCTCAGACTGTTTGTGTGCAGGATTTGCCAACAAATAGTCACTACACTTGGCATTTTGTGAAGCATTTTAAGAGATTTTGACATTATAACGCACTACAAAAATGCAAGTTATTTCTAACATGCTGTGGCTTGGAGGGTGCAATCTCATTTCGGGATTTACTCTTGCAAATTGACATTCCTTAAATCCCTCATGGAGATTACTGGCTTGACGTGAAGCAGTATTGTCACAAGGGCTAGCTAGCATATGGGTGTTTCACAGAGTATACCCTATCGTTCTGTAGGTTAATGTTTTTTTTTGTGTGATTTACACTGGTAAATTAACAGTACTCTGGCACCAAGAATGGATTACTGTGATCCAGCATGACAGAGCAATTTATTACAAGGACGTACAGATTAGGCACAGGAATAATTTAAATCTGCATCTTTAAATTTTAGTTACCCAATTTTTCATTCATGAACAGACAGAAAAAATACTAATAACAATGGAAACTGTATATGAATTGTAATGCAAGGGAGATAATTACAGTGTAAATATGATTTTACTGAAGTATTGTATTTTGTGGAAAACCTAACCAAGGCAGCCCGATCTGAACTAGATTTGAAATAAAAAAAAATTCATTTATTTCTGATATAAATGATCATGCAGTAGAGAAATTTACTGTGAAATATATAAAGAGCAAATGACCATTCATTTACCTGTGTTGCAATTTCTGAACTTGATGTACAAATTTGCACCTGGATTATAAATAGAAATTTGGCATCTTATTTATTTTGCAGCTGCTTGCATTGTTCTTCAAGTACCAAGTTATTGCAACTATTATTATTTTCATTGCCCAACATACAAGGACACAAGGGCTTCCCATTGCACAGACCCCACATCTATTTCCAATGTTATTTGGTTGAACGCACAACATTGCCTCCAATTTTCTGAAAGAAATCAGAAATTCATGTATCAATTGGTTTACCTAATTCCAGTTATATTACATTCAGTGGTGTGGATGAGCTATGTAAAATATGTAGAAATGAATTTGAGTGTGGGGCCAACTATATCATGAATATAAATCAGTATTTTCACTTTCTGCTTCTCCCCACCACCACCTATAAAGTGTTGATGTTGTCAGGAGGTGCTTGAATAACATGAAACAAATGGTAAACACTCAACTGAATAAAGAGAAAGAACAGCCTGATTTATTATGTTTTAATTCTACTTTGTCACTGTGAGTTACAAATCGACTGATTTTTTTATTGCAAGATAATTACTGTGCAAAGTGAAAAATGTGAAATCATTGCACTTGTATTCAAACACTCAGAGACAAGTTGTTGTACTCAAATTGTAACTACACCTACTTCTTACCTGAGCAAATGACTTTTGAGACCACGATAGTACATTTAAACAAAGAATCAACTATTGAGGCAACAGATCATTACTTGTATTTACTGCAATTTTGCTTTCATTTTCTAAGATGAAATGTTTTGTGTTTTGTAGAAACTGGAACGATTGACAAAGAAGTACAGAGGTACAACACACCAGGATTTGTCGGGTGTCTGTCAACAGTTCAATTCAACCATATTGCACCCCTGAAGGCTGCCTTGAAGCCCAGCATTTCTTCTCCAGTCAGTGTCCAAGGAGAATTTGTTGAGTCCAATTGTGGAGCATCCCCTTTAACTATTCCACCAATGTCAGCAGCAACAAATCCCTGGCATTTAGACTCAGGTATGGGGTAACCGTACATGCTTCACTTCTTGAGAAATCCTTTGCTTTCTTTCATCTTCTTAAAGCATAGCATCCCAGGTCGGGTTTGAGTAAAGGGGATTACAATTTTAAGAGGATTAACGTTCGGTTATTTCATACTTAGAAATTTTAATTAGAATGGTAAATTCTCTGGTAGTTTCACCAAAATCCTTTGTTGTTGTAGAGGAAGAGTTTTGATTGTGTGTGAGAGAAAAGTATCTGTCAATATTGTACCATGACTCAAATAAGTTTGCAAATGTTAAAACAAAACCAGATATCAAGCTAAAACTATGAAGTAGGCTAAAGGAATGCACCAGGAAAATGATGGTAGTTTTGAAAATGATCCTGGTAATTTTTGTGTGTTTCTTTATTACTTAGTCGTTCTTCATTGTTTGTTCACTAAAACACAAAATGTTTTTTTTTAAACTCCTTGCACTACTTTCTTGTTGTCCCAGCCAACATTTTCCTCTTTATTGGATTTTCAGTTTTCTACAGCAACAACATAATGAATGGTATGGCTGACCTTTCCTAATCAACTGGGGGTCTAACACAAGCTGTTAAGCTAACAATAGTAAACATTTCTTTGTTGAAGATTGGCAGCATTGATGACTATTTATATTACTGCCTGGCATTTTGAAGTGACCCAAATTTGATCACGCACTCAATACAACTGCAACAACATTTACAATATTCAGAGTACATCAGCAATTCATAGCTTGCTCAGTCACCAGCTTGACCTTCATAACTTGTGTTAAAATGGGCAACCCACCCGATTTACAAAAAAATAACTGCTTTGTATTTGGCAGCAGATTGCATTCATACCTACATCACCAAAAGAATTTGAAACCATGGTTCCCTCCTTCCTCATGCTGGTTGGAAAAAATGAAGCAATGAAAGGAGAGGGAGTAGAAGTCGGGAAAAAAACTCAGGGTGAAGGTGAACACTTAATAATTGACGTTAGACACTGATCATCTCTAATTTGCAAGACACTGATGCTACTATGTTGAGACATATTAATTGATTTTCTTATGAATAGGAAGCATGACGTTTACATTAATGTAGAGAGAAAAAAAATCAATATGTCTTCCAATTTGTTGACTTGCCACTTAAAATAGAACCATATCACAGAGATGATGAGCAATGGACATACAGTTAACACATTAATAAGCAACAAAGCTTGTTAAAAGTGTCTGTCTGGTGCATTGAAATATATTTGTGTCCATTACTGCATAATCAATGTTTTAGATGTAATCTTTGAATTTTCTAAAAGATGCAAACATTCAAAGGATGTTAATGGAATGTTTTAAAATGAAAACTCTTGCCATTTTACTTTCCGTCATTGTGAAACAAAGATATTTGTTCTTAAAGTCTTTGGGAGTAATTTGATAAAGCTAAAAATAGGGTCTGAGTAATTCTTTAACAGTATTGATCAAATCTCTTTAAATGAATATTGCAGGATAAGGCCATTCTAAAAATAATAACTGCTGTAAACTGTATTATTCAAGCTATGACAAGCCTATTTGTCAAAGATTTGGCTTACATATATGCATATATGGCTATATTTCTAAACCTCAGTGATAAGTCATGTAGACTGGTGAACCACGAACAATGCCGGGGATTACTAAAGACTTGTTTGGGTTTTTGCCATGGATACTTCCTCAGAGATCGTACAATGCCAGGAATACTCAATTATCTTCCTTCTCTTCTCCCTCATCATATATAATTAGCTGGACTATTCATTCCATGACTATCAAAGACTGATTGAACCCACCAAGATTCAAACCCAAATTAGTTTATAACCAACTGAGATACTTGCATTTTATCCTTTGATAATCACGTGAAAAAATAGATTTGTTGTAATTTTTTAATTCCCCATTTCAATTTCTCTTGAAGTTAGTGGTTTAGGCTGGATCATAGTTCATGAGCACATGAAGCCTTTCAAAATATCAACTAAGTGGTGATTCCTCATACGTGAACCAAGTCCTGTCAATGAGCCGGGCTGGGTAGTCTGTGATTACCAGTGCCCTGAAGCACTGTGGATGTGTCTAGCTCAGGAACCAGACCACAGAAGACTGACTTGATTCTGGCATTTCATTACTAAGCAGACGACTTTGAACTCAGCTCCATTCCACAGAGACTCGCTCTCCTCATGTACCCCCACCGAATACTTTGTGGTTCGGCACCAGAAGCCCTTCCATTCTTTGTACCGTTACTTAACTTGCATTTCTTAAGTATTTAAGCACAATCAAGTACTTAGCTTTTGAGCTAACTATCATTGCTGCCCAAATTGTTTTGATTTGTTCTGTGCGTCTCTTGCAAATGTCGTGCTGCTGTTGATAATTGGACACAGATTAGGTTAAGAAATGCAATGTACTTATAATGAATTTGATGGCGACATAATTGCCATTGAGAAGGAATTTTAGTAAAATGAATTGCACTGAATTCAATTGGATTTAGTTGGATTTCTTTTTAGCCACCAATTTATGAATCACAATGCTCACAACGTTGACTATTGAAATCTACCCATTCTGAACTGCATAGTCCTTTATTGATTGTTTCTTTCTGGGACCTGCTCTTGACAGTAATAGTGAATGAAAAATGACAGTAACCAACAATAAATTTTGATTATTGAAGTGCAACCAGATGCTGATTCATATGATGTAGAGGGTGGAGAGTAAACAATCAAACCTAATTCTTTAGGGAAACAGAATAATTATATATCTTTCTAACGTAAGTGGGAGAAAGTTTTCTTTTTTGTAGTAAGAGCAAAGCACATGAAGCTGCTGTTGTGTTTCAGGGGAATCCATTTCATTCTGACACATGTCGAGTGTCCAGTTACTCAGTCCACTTACAGATTATTTGAGCACTGCGGGAACATACGGGATCCTGCTACTATTGCCTAAAGATAACTGCTATCAGTTCCTTGACCACGATGACTAGAGGGTGACTCACAGGAGTGGCTTAGTCTTATTCATTTTTTTTTCTCCTTTCTTGTGTAAATTGTGCAGTATCCTCTTGTCATGTCTTTGAGCACAAGGGAGATTATGAATTTTCATATGCAAAGATCATAACTCTGGATCAGTGTTCCATTACTCCACACACAGCAGGTTGCAGCACAACCACATCTGCAGAGTATGTATCAGCACTTGCAGTTTGTGCCACAGGCCCCAGAGGCACTGCAGAGGAGAGTAATGAGGATGATCCTCAATGATGGATGAGCTATGAGGAACGATTAGATTAGCCAATGCTCTTTAACCTTGAAAAGTCAACCGTGCGAGTCCCGCAGTATAGTGGTTAGCGCACATATCACACAAGCGAGAGGACCCGGGGGTTCGATTGCCAGGAGGTATAAAGAAACCTTAGGCACGTTTCCTTACTCCACATGCCTCTGCTTACCTAGCAGTAAGTAGGCAGCCAGTTGTTAGTCGATTGGCAGATCGCTTTCCAGGGATAATAATCCCTTCAAAAATAACAATAATAACAGGTTCAAGGTTCGTAAAGGGCAATTTCGGAACAGTCACCACCTCGTTATTTACAAAGAGGACAATGGGTTATCGGAAAGGGTGGTTGAAGCCAGGACACTGGCTGTGTGAGCGGAAAAAAATCTTACCCCATTTCAATGTGTGCTCTCAAATCCACTCCTAAACTTAGCTCTCAAAGCCACTGCTGGCACCTTCCCCAGAAATACATTGTCTTTAAAACGGTGGCTGCTCGTACACAATAGAATTGCTATGATATATTTCCAAACAACAAAAGCTTTTGTGCTACTGCTGATGGCTATTGAGTTATTAATGAACTTCAGCAGGTTGATGAATGGTATGACTGGCTCCATTCATTTTTATGTCACTATCTCACATCCAGTCCTGAAAATACTTTCCAGGGTTTCCAGTTGTCCTAATACAAATGAGCCACATCTCACTTTTGTGAAGCTCTTAGTGGTGACAGTATGAAAAACTATTAATACTATTATTTCATTTCTTATATTGTGTCTGTCCACAAAAACAGTCCCTGCATTTGCAGTACAACCTGTGAAGCGCTTTGAGATGTCCTTCCAACATGAAAGGCACTATACTAAATGTAAAGATTATTATTATTATTATAGTCTCATTCAGCAGCATTCACCTTTCTTTGTTTGAAAATATTCTTATTGTCGGGAACAGTTTCAAGTATATATGTGCTTACGATCTAGGCTTTTAACATCTGATCTGAGAACTGGCACTTTTGAGAATGCAGTGCTCCTCCAGGATTGCTCTGGGGTGTCAGTCTAGACTGAGCTCCGAATCCTGACATGGCCCTTGAACCCACAACCTTGCTCCACTCAGAAGCGAGACTGCTGCTGACGTAATCAGACTGACACTTTGTACATTCCTGAATCTAAGCCACAACGTTCACTCATGTATCAGATAGTAGTCTGCTATTAGTTATTGGAAAAGATAGATAGAGAAACTGGAATTGATAATCTGGAAGGATAAAACCTAAAACCTACCTGAGTGTCTTGCAAACCTGTGCTGTGTGAGTAATGTGTAGCGTACCATTGTATTGATTCAAGAAATATTATAATATAATAATAATTGTTGAATTTGGTAAAGCACCTTATCAAGCCTTCCAGATGTTTCAAAGCATGACATAGGATTTACTGTAAAGTGTAGTGACTGTGTATTTTGAAGGTAAGCGTGACAGCCTATTTGCTCTCAGCAACGTCCCACAAACAGCCATGAAGTTACCGTATCTTGGGCATTGTTGGCTAGGACACCGGGATTATGCACATGGTCCATCATTATTAATTGTCATCTTGATGACAAGTGAATGTGTACATCAGGCTTTTTACTAGTCTTTTTATTGCTCATATCTAGTTTAATACAGTAACAATATTGCAGAACTTAAAGTAGATTAATTTTAATTCAAAGGATTCTGCACTAAATTACTTCTCATTTGTTGAGTAAACATGACTTTGCAAAGGCACACATTCAGCACAGCTTGATGTAAAAGCATTGTAACACAAATAAAAATAGACAATTAGACCTATTGTGTCTTTCAGTTGCAGTGTGTGTGGCATTATACGTACCAGCAATAAAGAATTTTTCTTATTACATTTTCTGAAAAGCAAGTTCTAATTATATTGCAATCAAATCAGTCGTTACAAGGAGAAAACGGAAAAAANCATTCTTAGCCATAAATGCTTTTAGTTACCTTGGCTCTTTATTAATAATAATAATCCTTGCATTTGATATAGCGCTTTTCACGTTTTCTAGACGTCTCAAAACGCTTCACAGAATATACTGTAAAGTGAATTGACTGTATATTTGTGGGCGAAACGCGGCAGCCAATTAATTCCACACAGTCCCACAAACAGTCGTGGATTGAAGTGACCAATTTATTATTGTTTTTTTTCTTGAAGGATTATTATCAGGCGTGTGGAGTAAGGAAACTTGTCCAAGGTTTCACCCTGCCGGGAATCTAACCCAGGTCTCTCGCTTGCGAGGCGAGTGCTCTAACCACTGAGCTACAAGATACTTATTCACAGTGTTCAATGTATCCATTTCCACAGCCATGTTTACTGAAGGATTTTGGATTAATTCAAAACAACCTGTTTCATGAGTGATAAGTGGTGCTGAATATTAGAGCACCGGTATCCACAGTCATGCTGTTTATGATCATAAAGAAGCAATGTCAAATCACATTGCCAGTGTGGAGTCCTGTAGCTTAGTGGTTAGAGCACTCACCTCGCAAGCAAGAGGACTTGGGTTCGATTCCTGGGCAGGGCAAAACAATTCCTTATTCACCACACCAAGCAGCAAGTAGGAACCTGGTTGTTAGTGGGTTGGCGGATTGCTTTTCTGGGGTAATAATCCCTTCAAAACAAAAATAATCCACATGCCTGTGGAAGTGGATACATTGAACACTGTGAATAGGTATCTTGTAGCTCTGTGGTTAGAGCACTCGCCTCGCAAGCGAGAGACCTGGGTTCGATTCCCGGCAGTGGGACACTGCTGTGCACATTTAGCTGCTGTGTTTCTTCCACCAGATATACAATGAATTCATTTTATAGTATATTCTGTGAAGATCTTTGAGACGTGTCGAAGACTTGATAAGGCACTGTATCAAATGCAAGGATTATTATTATATTATTTGCAGGACCAGTGGGAGAAATTTGGAACATTTGAGTAAATCTGCACCTAGGTGGAACTTCTCCTCCCAAAATTTTTATAAAATTATAATTTCTGGTGTTAAAGAATACACTTGATGATTTCCGTTGTAGAGTATTTCAGAATGTAAGAATAGAAATGCAATCTATAGACGTACATGTGCTGACCAAATTGTATTCCTGATCAATACTAAACCAATCGTGAATATTGGCTCCTGCCTACTCTTGTTAATTTTTGTATGGAAAGGATACTGAATTCTTTTGAGAGTAACCAGCCAATAAGTATATGCTTCGCTTTTACAATTCAGGTATCCCCTGTAAATAATCTTGTCAATTTCTGAAATGTGGCATTTAGCTATTGATCCTTTTTATCACCCGGCTTTTATAGAAGCTCAACCTGATTAACCAAAGAACAGTTATTAGATTTCTGACACTGAATTTATTTCTATTTTCAGCGGGTGCAGAGTTACCCTATAATGAAGAGAATGTTATCACAGATGGAGTCAATCGAAACTCTGCAATTATTGGTGGTAAGTGGTATTAGTCCCTCGCTTCCTCTCTCTCCACCATTAAATGACCCTTTGTTTCTGGTCAGCGTTTCTCCCTATCTTCCTCTGCTCCCCCCTGAGCCCAGCTCAGGCTCCCAGTCGACTCTGTGAAGCACTTTGAGACATCTTGCCAACATGAAAGGCGGTAAATAAATACAAAATTTGTTGTTGTTGTGTGGCAAAGTGCATGGCCTATGATCTATTGGATCAAACAACGTGCCAATTGTGAAACAAATTATAGATTAGATAACTCAAATATGCTTATGGAAGATGTTATTAGCTGCTGAGTGGAAACTACATCTGGTTTTTTTTCCAGTTTTGTCCAGATTTCTCAGCAATGAGGAAGATGTATAGGTTGGTGCAGCTAACCACAGTGTGGAGTAAAGAAAAGGCGACTTGGATCTGCCTCAGTACCTTAGAAGCATTTGACAGATATAGAAAGAATATTTTTACCAAATATAATCAATCTGAAATCTAATGATTCTGATCATACAAACTAATACAATACTGGAATGTGTTCCCTCAACTTTGGTTAACCAGCTGTCCCAGGGATTTACTTTGACTTAAATTGTGCCACAGATACAAGAGGTCAATACAGCTGCTGAATCTTTGCTAATTAATTTGAGAGGTATGATAGTTGCTCCCCAACAAATATGTTGTTAAAAAGAATTTTTTTCTTGATCTGCCAATGAGTTGCGAGGATCTTTGTTTTTATTTCCCTCAGTAAGAGGGATCAGACCGTGATTAAGGTTAACTTCCTCTCTTCAAGCAGCTGCTTCCTGGACTGTAGATCATGAACTTCAGAGACATGAAGCGAGGTTTTTATTTTCTATATTTTAGGTTCAAACGCAAAAGTCTCAAATTTCTTGCAAGAGACTCGAAATCACGAGTGGAATTGTGTCAGAGCGAGGTAGCTCAAGTGATGGAGAAATACTAGACACGTTCATTCATAGTGTACAAACCTGCCTCCAGAATGCTGTCAAAATCATTGATTCATTTTTTATTGGTCCTGTAAATTATTAAGGAGGCTAATCTCACTATCTTTACCACTTTACTATTAAAACATGTATTCAGCTTCCCAGTGATGAAAAAAAAGATTTAGTTCAGCTTTATTTAATTAGATAGGAAATTAAAGTAAAATTCCTCACTTCTCTTCAGTTATTGTCACATCTTATGGAAAAAAAAGCACTGCTGCTAACTGAGCATTGAAAGAGTGCCATCACCAGGCTGGAGCAGGAAGTGCATTTACAACAATGAGGCACAGAAAAATGAGCATTAAGTGAGAAGAGCAGTTGACTCTTTCTTCCACAGTCAAATAAAATCGATATACCATGAACTTGAACCCAGGAACTTTAAGTCATTCTCAAATCTCACCATGGTCTCTCACCACCCTACCTCTGACCTCCTTCAATACCTGGCCACTCCTTTTAATCGGTGATCACTGCTTTATGCCTTATCCACCCCCACCCCACTCAGAAGGCAGGCTTTCAGCCACTTTGCCCTTGCTTTCTGGAATTCCATTCCTCCGATTTGCTCTCCCCCTTCTCATTCAAGGGGCATCACAAAGCTAGCTCATTTTCTATGCTTTCCACTCCTCAGCTCCCACCCTCCAGCTCTGGTTCCCAGAGTCAAATGCTTTGAGACGTCATCCCGACGTGAAAGGTGCTATAGAAATGTAAATTGTGTTGCATCGTATTGTATCTGGTTGGCGAATGGAAAATAATAAGAATCGGTGTGCACAAACGCAAAAGGAACTAAATACATTGGATATTTGGGTGAAAAGATGCAGATTAATACAGAGATGTGAAGTTCTGAGAGTCAACTGAAGTCAGACTAGAGTAGAATAAATACTGAATATAAATATACTTGAATTATCAAAACAGTAAAGATACTTTCGAGTTTTGGTAGTTTGGATCACTAAAACCATCGGAACAGTGTTAAGAAAGTGAGCAGATAGTTTAGGGCAGTGGTGGCCAATGTTTATGGTCAACCAACCTAATTATGTGTTTTTTGATTGAATATTTCTTCATTATTAATGGCCACATCATAAATATCGCTACTCAATAGCTACTGGAAATAAAATATAAATTTAACACAGGCTTACCTAGACTAGTGCGAATGTTCGACAGGCCACTTCTTGACACCATAGGTTGGCCACCTTGGCTTAGGGATAACATCTCAGTTGAAAGAAGTGATTTTAAATAGTGTCTATCCATCCTTAGATCACATCTGGAGTCCTGTGTGTAGCTTTGATCTTCCTATTTCTAAAATTGATATTCAGTCATAAGAGGGATTGCAACGGGGGGTATAGAAAAGTAGATATTTTATCTGGACTATTTCCCTCCTTTAAAGTATCCTGTTTTCTGTCTCCCTTAGTATTAGTGTTTTTTCAGTTCAATAGATATTTTACAACTTGCTATAGTATGAGCAAAATGTATGGAGAAAACATGGTGCTCAGTACAGCTGTATTTTAACTGGACAATGAGTCTCATAATGCAGGTGCAGGTAATGAAATGTAGGAAAATATGGATGAGCTCCAAGCTGGTTGTACTGTGAGTTACACTTAGTTTTGAAGCGTTGGCGATAAGTCACCAAGAAGTAATGTGATCGATTCTGTGCTGTATTTGGACACAATTTATTTTGATTCACACAATGTCAATATCTATTAAACTAATATAAACAAGGCTCTTTCCCTGTGGGTTAGATGTTGAAGATACTGGCTAGTGCAAAACTGACCAAGAAAGTGCCAAAAATATCAGTAAAATCTCAGGTTTAATCTGAGGCCAATGCTAAATTCATTTATTTTATCTTGGGTAGTGGTAAGGGTTTTTACAAATGACTTAGCCTTGGGCTAGAGAGAAGGAAAATTGAGTCAGGGCAATTCAGAGAGAGGGGAAAATTCAGCCCAGATTCTGACTCCTGATCACTCTGAAGTGGTCTCTGCCGTACATACATGTATAGATGTTAAGGACAGGATCACGCTTGGTTTGAGTTTCCTGCTCCACCAACACACACACACTTACTCAATTGCATACAATAGCACATCCTGACATCCTCAATAATTAGGTTCACACATTTGTGTGAAGAACCAGAAGGTGGACAGTGCCTAGGGAAGCTTATACCACCAGAGTCTTCTGAACATTTGGTACTCAGCTGTAGGTGAAGACCGTTGGACCTGTTCAATACTAGGGATAGAAACATGCATTGTATTTTACTCGTGAGTCGTTTCCTCTACAGCACTTTAATTGGGGTTTGAAACATTAGCAAATTCATGCCATGTGCAGACCACCACCAACAACAAAATTACATTTGTATAGCGGCTTTCACATTGGGAGGACGTCCAAGGCCTGGGATCAACAACTTGCACTTATACAGTGCCCTTCACATGGGTAACGTCTCTGAGCGCTTAACAGCACTTGACACTGGGTTGGAAAGGAAGGGGAGGAGAACAAAGGCACGGTAAAGAAGAAAGCCCATCTTCAAAGTCACAAAGGTGCAAATTGAAGATGGTCAAAGAGGGGCAAGACAGAGGGATTGAGATTCGGGCCATAAGCCACCAATTCTGGAGTGCAGGGGACAAGGGATGTGCAAAAGACCTAAGACAACAGAGCAAAGACAGTGGGTAGAGGAGAGAAGCGCAAGCAGATCACAGGGAGAGTGACGTGCCAGGGTGTGAAGAGCCTTGAAAGTGACAGTTATGATTTGGAAATCGATCCATTCTGTAACCGGGAGCCAGTGGAGCCTTACAAGAAGTGAGGTAATGAGGATGCGAAGCCTGGTACAGGTGAGGACACAGGCGTCAGAGTCTTGAATCATTTGGGCCTTGTTAATAGAGGAGCTCAGGAGACTGGCAAGGAGTGCCGTGGGAGATCATCCAAGTATTGTTTAATGACCATTCGCTGCACAGCGAAATTGCAGCAGTCCTAACAAAAGACATGAATAACTTTCAGAGCAGAGTTCCTCTAGGTCAGTGTGATGTACATCTGATTATCAAAAGGATTTGCTATTTGCAAATCACAGTTATTGTTACCAACTGTTAGGATTTGCCTAGTTCAGGCCTCCCCAAATCATCTAAAAATAATAGCATAACAACAACAACAACAAGATTTCATTTACAGAGCGCCTTTCACGTTGGGAGGACGGGAGGGGGCTAGGCGGGGGGAAGAGAGTCGAGAGGGGAGCTGAAGGCACGGTCGAAGAGAAAGGTCTTGAGACCGGCCTTGAAGGAGGAAAGGGAGGAGGCGGTGAAGGCACTGGGGGATAGAGTTACAGAGCCTCGGGGCTGAGAGGCTGAAGGCCCGGCCAACGATGGTAGGGCGGTTAGCGCGGGGGATGTGGAGCAAACCGGAGCCAGAGGAACAGAGGGTACGGGCAGGTAAGTAAGGGGATAGTAGGTCGGAGAGGTAGGAGGGAGCAAGGCCGTGAATAGCCTTATAGGTGAGGATGAGGATCTTGAATTCGATCCTCTGGGGGATGGGGAGCCAGTGGAGGCGAGCGAGGGTGGGAGTGATGTGGTCGCGAAGCCTGGTGCGGGACAGTACACGAGCTGCAGAGTTCTGAATGACCTGCAGCTTGTGGAGGGAGGTGCCGGGAAGGCCGGCGAGGAGAGAGTTCCCATAGTCCAGCCTTGAGGTGATAAAGGTGTGGACCAGGGTTTCAGCAGCGTGAGGGGTGAGTTAGTGCCATAGTCTGACAATATTCCGGAGGTGATGGAAGGCGGTGCCAGTTATGGCGCGGATATGAGGAAGAAAGGACAGCTCAGGGTCGAACAGAACCCCGAGGTTCCTGACTGGCTTTGAGAGGTGGAGAGTGCAGCCTTGGATGCTGATGCTGTCAGCGCCTGAGGTGCGGAGGCGAAGAAGAAAGCCAATCAGGAGGGCCTCAGTTTTGCGCACGTTGAGCTGAAGAAAGTTGTCTCTCGTTCAGGACTCGATGTCGGACAGGCAGGCTGTCAGGACATCGGTGGTCATGGAGTTGAGGATAGAGGAGGAAAGGTAGAGTTGGGTGTCATCCGCATACATGTGGAAGTTAACCCCATGTCTGCGGACGATGTCACCAAGGGGGAGCATATAGAGGGTGAAGAGGAGGGGACCGAGGACAGAGCCCTGAGGGACACCGCACGAGACAGTGCGGGGGCTGGAGGAAAAGCCGTTAGTGGAAATAAAATGAAGATGGTGGGAGAGGTATGACCTAAATCACTCAAGGACAGGGCCTTGAGTGGGAGGACAAGCGGTGGAGGAGGATAGAGGTTGAGGTGGGAGGACAAGCGGTGGAGGAGGATAGAGTGGTCGACCGCATCGAATGCGGCCGATAGGACGAGGAGGCAGAGGGAGCCCTGGTCACAGATGGTCAGGATGTCATTGGTGACCTTGACCAGGGCGGTTTCTGTGCTATGGGCAGCACGGAAACCCGACTGAAGGGGTTCAAATAATGAATGGGTGGAGAGGAAAGAGCGCAGCTGGGAGACGACGACTCTTTCAAGGACCTTGGACCGGAAGGGAAGGTTGGAGATGGGCCGGTAGCTTGATAGCTGCGATGCATCAAGGGAGGCTTTTTTCAAAGTGGAAGTGATGGTGGCATTTTTTAAGGGAATAGGAACAGAGCCAGAGGAGAGGTTGATGATGTCTGTGAGAAGTGGGGCAAGGAGGTGGAGCTGAGAGATAAGGAGTGGAGTGGGGATGGGGTCAAGAGAGCAGGTGGTGGGTTTCAGGGACAGGATGAGTTTGGTGACAGAGGGTGGGGAAACGGGTTCGAAGGTGACCTCAAAGTACCTCAATCAGTTGTTCTGACTTGTGATGCAGATAAAAACCTTACCTTGTGTCTCACCACAGATAATAAAATGGTTCTAGGAGGTTGCATGGATTAATTTTCTTGTTTAATCTTCACAGACTTGCTTGCTTTTTCTCTCCATTAGGTGTTATTGCAGTTGTCATCTTCACCATCCTTTGCACACTAGTCTTCTTGATCCGTTATATGTTCCGCCACAAAGGGACCTACCATACCAACGAAGCCAAGGGTACCGAGTCTGCCGAGAACGCTGATGCAGCTATAATGAACACTGACCCCAACTTCACAGAAACTATCGACGAGAGTAAAAAGGAATGGTTCATCTAACAGGATTGTTGGGAGTTTATCCTCTGGTGTATTTTTTTGTTGCCGATTCAGGAAAGATCAGCACAAATGAACCCAAATGGAAAACATGCGGAAAAAAATAGGATTCAAATGAAAACAAAAGATAAGATATGATGGATTACCACCAGTTTTGAAAAGAATTTTCCCAAGTATGTCAGTACTAATCGTAATGCATTTACACTTCAGAAAAAAAAACAAGCTGATAGTATAGATTATTACACATATGCCAAATACCCATTGTAAATATGTTTTATGTAGAGCATACAAGTATAGAGTATACGTTTTTGTTGCTGAAGAAGCTTATGAAGTTATTGCATTTTACAATGAAAAATGGTAATTCATCATTGTTAAGAGTTTGTGCAAAGAATGATTTGGCATGCTGTGGTATATATAAAAATTGGTGAAAGTTTTTTTAATTACATTTCCATTCAAGCTGTTCACACATTTCTCTTTTTTTTAATTTTGTTGTAAAAAATATTTTTTTTTAAAAAGCACTATTCAACAGCCAGAGTTAAGTAAATCCGATCACTTAAACTGCTTGTTTGTGCCCAAGCTCTCATGTATATGTAGATACGTGTGACCATAGTGTATGTTGGAAGCCATACACTTGTCCTTTCCTCATTCACGAGACTTTGCTAAATTCTGCCCAGAGAAAATACTGAAGTGTACACAACAAATAATGTTAAGCTGTCATTTGTTAACAAGACTTCTGTTATTTACCTTATACCACTGTATATATTTTTTATTCTTATATTTTATAAATGTTCATTATCTTGTCCATTTCTAGCCTTTTATGGTAAAACCTTTTTGTGTGGTGACGGTAAACATTGTTTCAGCTATTAAGAAATTGCTGCGTAGGCAAGGAGACAGTCACTGCTACTAACTATTCCCGTGAGGCACAACAGGTTTTCTTGCATGCTTGCAGACCTGAGGATATTTACATTGTGAAAGCTCAGAGGTACCTGTATATGCCTTCAGAGAGATGGGATCTGATCCATTGTTTTCCTAATTAGGAAGCACACTCTTACACATGGTGTTTTCTGTTCAGGAACTTAGGATAGTTTATAAATTTTTAAATTTCCAAACTGTGTCATGCCTTATTTTAAGTATGTACTGTAGTTTGGTTTAAAAAAAAGGAAAAAAAGTACATTAAAAGAGCCTTGCTGTAAATTTGTGTGCCCTTGTTGCTTTTTGATGACACAAATGTAACCCTACAACTTGTACGACATACTTTTTCAGTTATATAAAACTTTACGTTCCGACTTAAATGAAGCCATTTTTGGTTTCTTTCCCATTTGGTTATATATAGCTGAGTTTGAGTGCTACTGATGGTGTATCTTGATTTTGAGCTTTAGGCTGGCACTCCAGTGCAGTACTGGGGGAACGCTGCTTTGTTGGATGAGATTTTAAACCACGGTCCCCATCTGCTTGTTCAGGTGGAAGTTAAAGATCCCTTGGAACTATTTGAAAAGAGAAGGGAGTTTCTCCCAGTGTTCTGGCCAGCAATTACCCCACATTAAATTGGTCATTCACTTCATGGCTGGTTGTGGGATATTGCACAAATTAGCTGCTGCATTCGCCTACAGAATACAGAATCACTACGCTCTACAGTATAATCCTTTGCAAGGCTTTGAGACATGAAACATCGTTGGACGAAATGCAATAGTTATTTATTAGCTTGTGGTGGCAATGATCAATTCTTGTTGTTACGCTTTTCCACAAAATAGTCAATTCAGTTTACAGTATATTCTGTGAAGCACTTTGAGACATCTCAGTGACGTGATAAGATTCGGGAATGATGAAGGTACTTCCATACAATTGATACATTCCATACATGTGGTGAAAACCTGGAGTATTGTGATGGGTAGGTACGTGGGTATGTGTTCTCAGTTGATCTCATTTGGACTTGTTATTGTACAACCTTACCCTTACCCTCAAATGGTTACACAAGGAAACTTTAATTCTGGTTACAAGCAGAAAATCACTGCAGGAATTTACACCCTTTTGTAATGGGATTACAGGACCCTTAGTATGGGATTTTCTTTCTCTCTCTCCCATCCCCCGCATATTGTTAAAGTAATGGGGTTGGGGGGGTGGTCTTTGTTAAGTATCATATTAATTCCTCAACCTAATCCTCTCCAAAGTAACTCAATGGGTAATCATATAGTTCTTGGCAAGAATGTCATAAATTGTAAAGATAAGGGAAGAATTATTTGAACATCTCACATAAAACCTAGAGTGGATGAAAGCAGTAGTAAGTCTTTAATTCAATCAACGTTACAGATCCTATAAACCACAAAGTTATCCTCGGGGAAAGAGGTAAGGAGTCTCATTGGAGCTGAACTGGCTCCAAGGTGACATGTTTGGCAACGGAATGTCAGAATTTAGTCAGCCCTCTGGCGGTCTTACAGTCTAGTTTCTGAGCCAGCGGGTCCACAGTACTCCAGGGCACTGCTGGTGACGGCACAGCTAGCCTGGCTCTTTAGGAGGACTCAGAGAATCAGAACAGACACTACAATCAGGAATCCCTCCCACTCAACACTTGTTAGCTCTGCAAGCCAGAGCTCTAACGGGTAGGGTGGTCCTAGGAAGACAAACAGTGGGAAGCTTGCCAGATAATGCTTCCAATGGCAAACTATGTTGTTTTAGCTGGTTAAGCACTGCAGTAGCCCCCATTCACACTATGAGGTCCCCAAGCCTTTGCTCTTGCAAACCTGCGCCTAATACTTTCTAGAATTAGGTACGCAGGGTGCATCATCGCTCCCCGGCGGAGAAAGATCAAATGAAAGAGTAAACAGCCCAGGAGCATGAAGAGGGAGCTGAGTGAGGTGGAACAGAGTAAAAATTCTGTTAAGGATTTTGGTGAGAGTGGGAATTTTTCAGCAAGAGAGATACCAGAGAGCAAGAGAGATACCAGAGAGAACTCTTTCAGCACAAAAGTGGGAAATCTATTTTGAGGTAGAAGCAACCTTATATGTAAGCAGGCAAACAAGTCAATTAGCAGTTAATATAGGCTAGGAGTTGGGGATTAAATAATCTGCTATGGGGAGAGTGGGGGAGAGGGATTGAATTGGATAGCTCTTTTCAAAGAGCCGACACAGTCCCAAATGGCCTCCTTCATAATTCTATGATTCTATAAAATTGGTCATTCACTTACAAAGAACAATGTAATTACCCATTGAGTTACTTTGGAGAAAAGTAACTCCAAAATAGTTCCTTGTCTAACTAGTTATATGGCACAGGTAGGGCAGGGGATCTGCAGCAAAGGGGACAAAGGTAACCCCACATTCTTTGTGGCTGTGGGTTTGATAAAGTCAGTCAAGAGCTTCATAAAGTTTCACATACTAACACAGACGGGTGATATGAAAATGTGTACTTTGTATTAACAAATCATTGGCCTCTTGCTTGATAATTGTCCAAGGCACTTCAAATCAATTGCTACACTAATTGAAAACAGAACTTGTTCAACTTGGCTAACATTTTAAATATTGTCCTTTCAATAATGCCGGGCTTCTGGTTCAACAGCACATTCTTTCTTATTCTTTGCTCCCCATGGGCTCCTCATTTTAATTAAAGCTCTTAAATCAGAACATTGCTCTGCGAGGAGTCGCAGTGTGCTTCCATCACTACGGCAACATACAGCACTGTTCCCACAAACACTTTGAAGTGCATCAGTATTTGAGGGAACTCAACAGCTGTAGACAAAGGTTACTCTGGGAATGGAGGAATTGAAGTGGAACAGATGCTGAATATTGTTGTTTGTGAAGTTCAGAAGCTATTTTCTTTAGAAGGACATTTGTTGTTAAGTTCTACAAGCTTTTACATGTTTTGTTGAGCATTACAAATTATGTAAATGAATAAATAATACTTACATTTGATGTGGTGCCTTTCATATCGGGAGGACGTCTCAAAGGATATGCTGTAGGGTGGAGGGATTAAGTACTTTTATAAATGAATACAGCTGTCAATGTGTACATAAACACGTTTCACAAATAGCCATGAAGTGAATGACCAATTCTATTTGGGGGACTGTTGACCAGGACGCAAAGAGAAACTCCCTTCTCTTTTTGAAATAGTCCCATTGGTTTTTTAATGTCCACCTGAACAGCCACACAGACCTCGAAGGACAGGACCTCCAATTGCAGCACACCCCCAGCACTGTATTGGAGTGTCAGCATAGATATACAAGTTCAATGTCCCGACATGGTGCTTGAACCCACAGCATTTTGACTCCTAGGCGAGAGTGTTAATAACTCAGCCAGGCTGACGCACAGTGACACGTACACATAAAGTGAGGGCATTACACAGTTAAATACTTCAGATATCTGATTGCCACAGCCAGAATCATTGATTGCTGAGGAGCTTAGGCAGAGCACAAAGGTTGTTACTGGGGCAATCTGGGAGCTGAGTTTGAGTGCTCATGTTTTTTGTGGGTGTTTAGGGCAAAGTGGAGTACTAGGGTATCTCTGTTCATCGGTTGGCCCCTGGATCCCTTCAGACATGAGAAGTTTGGGAAGCCTGGGGTGGGAGTCATAAGAAGAGAAAAGGCAGCCCCACCTGCCTTGTTTAGGAAGATGGGAACAGGAACATATCAACAAAGGAACAGGAGGAGACCATTCAGCCCATCAAGCCTGTCCCTCCACTTTACCAAGATCGTGTCCGATATGCAATTCAATTCCACCTCCCCGCCCTCTCTCCATATCCTCTGATATCCTTGCCTATCAAGCGTATATCTATTTGCCTTTTAGATTCTTCAATTGCCTGTACTTCCACTGCTCTCTGGGGGAGCGAATTCCACACTCCCACACCACCTGCTGCATGAAAATATGTTTCCTTATTGCACTTGTAAATAGTTTAGCCTCCAGTTTAAGATCTATGTTGGATCTGTGGATCTGATGAGGCCAGTCATTGTTTAGCCAAATTAGCCTTATGTGTTCAAATACTGTACTGCACAATAAGAACTAAGAAAGACATTTTTTTTTAAACTCTCAAAGGCCTTAAAGGTAATTATGTCAAGTGAAGTTGCTGTTTATCAGGCAAATGCTGCAGTCATTTGTTGCAGCAAGATCCCGCACATAATAAGGAGTGGATAGAATTAGATAGCTCTTTCAAAAAGCCGGCAGGGGCACGATGGGCCAAATAGGTTCCTTCTGTGCTGTATATTGCTATGATTTTATCATTCTATGAATGAGGGAACAGAGATAGTCTCTAACATCCACCTGAAATACAGGCAGACAAGATCCCAGATTATAATATACATTGGTAATAATAATCCTTACATTTGGTATTATAGTGCCTTTCAAATCAGGAGAAATCCCAAAGCGCTTCACAAGATTATACTGTAAAGTACAGTGACTGTACCTTGTGGGTGAGCATGGCATTCAACTTTGCGCACAGCAATGTCCCACAAATAGTCATGAAGTGAATGACCAATCTTATTTGGGGGCCTGTTGGCCAGGGTACCAGGAGAAACTTTATCTTTTTAAATAGTGCCAAGGGTTCTAACATTCAGTGGAACAACCAAGTAACGTTTAACATCTCATACAAAGGACAGTACCTCCAACAATGCAGCAAATCTCCACCACTACATTGGAGCTTCATCTTAGACTCTGTGAGGCCCACACCTGAACATAGGTCTTGAACCCACAACCTCCTACTCTTGGCCAAAAGTGCCTGGCTGACAGGGCTATGAGAAAATATTGAGCCATGCCAAGACTTTTTTTTAGGAAAAGACTGGAGAATGGTGTGATACAGGCGTTGAGGGCATTTTGCTCAGAAAAGTTAGAACAAAGAGAAACATGGAGAGAAATCACAGCAAAAAAAGAAAGATAAGTCAGAAAAATACTCAGATTAGAAGCAAAGAAGATAGAAACCAGTGAAAAAGTCAGAGCTGGTGAAAGTCTTTAGGTCTAAGTGGAAGACTGCATCCTGTATTCTCAGATGAGAATTTAAAGACAAGCAACTGTATTATTGTGTGTTATGCTCCTGCTTAAGAACTCAATGAATAAAACTCAGTGAATAAAGGATCCAGTTTAAAAAANTATTTTAGGAATTTATAATAAATTCAGTTCTTGGTGCTTCTTTGACAGTTGAAAGCTTATCTCCAATTGGAAAGCCAGGCTGGCCAGTTTCAGAAAGGTCTTCCAAATCTAATATGAGAGAGTATGGGGAAATAATAATACTTGTATTTGA